GAACGCCCCGTTTAGGTCGCCCTGGACGATCCGCCAAACACGATCTGCCTCACGGTTGACGTAGCAGTCCTTCATGGCTGTTCCCTCCCGCAGCAAGCACGGCCAGCCCTTCTCCGAGGTGAGTACCATCAGCCTGGGGCGCGGTGCGGTGAATTGCCCCGCATCGTTCACCGGCCGAAGAGTTGTGCCCTGCATCTTGTACTCCCACGACTGTGCTGGCGCTTGGCCCGCCTTCACCTCCATTCGCACCGCCACTTCCTCCTCCCCATCGCCCTCGGGAAACCCCAAGACGTGGCTCCACCTCGCCTTGAGCACAGAGTCGTAGAAGCCCTCCGGCAACGGCCGTCTGGCAATTTCCTTCACCCGCCACGCCCTTTCGAGTACCTCCGCCACCTCAAGGGCGGCGTTGAGTTTTGACCTTGTAATAACAGCAACGATGTCCTTCTGATGAAAGTCCTTCCATTGACCGAGAGAATACACGCCTTGCCTCATAAGATTGTGTGCGTCCTCCAGGCGCTGGTACTCTGGTGAATTAAGAATTCTTCCTAGGAGCCGCTCGTCACTGATGCAATCCACAGGCTCCTGAATAACCACCCCCATCATCACATTGCGGCCTTCGAGCACGAAATTGGGATCAACGTACCTCCTGATGAAGTCGTTTAGCGTTATTTGTTCAGGAGCATCTACTTCCTCAAGCCGTAGCACTTCCTCCACGGTACTGTAAAGAGCCCACTGTGGTCCCGCAGGTGCTTCTTCCATCCTTCGGCGCTGTGCAGGGGGTTGATTGGAACCGCCGCTGTCGGACCCCGACCTCGCGTGCCGCCTCTGCGCATAAGTGGCGGGGCTCTCCGCGGCAGCGTGAGTTTCTTCTTCGCTTCTTTCAGTCATTGTTTCTTCAGTGTCTTTACTTTGTTGTAGGCGTTGTTGTCTTGCGCTGCGGCTGCACACCAACCACCAGCCAAAAACGAGAATGCAAGGGGGAAGAGAAACAAAAATATGGGCACACAGACACAC